ACGCTAGCCTTCTCCTCCCAATCAGCTTTGGGTGTTCCAGTCAGTGTTTCGTTGTTTTACTTGAGGATTGATCTTGTCACTGACTCAGAGTGATATACCCATTGTAGGCCCAGGATCTCGGGTCCCTCTGAATCAAAAGGGGACTTCGGCAAGAGGGTCATTTACAATAACGCATGTCCCTTCTGGAGCCCTGTCTTGTGTTCTTCAGAAAACTGATTCCTTTGTCGTCACAGCTCTCCCCCAAGTGTAAGAGATGAGGTTGTCAGCCCTCTTGATGAGATCATGCCCGTATCGCGCTGGACCAAGATCTCTCAAGACGACAAGGCCTTGACACATCTTGTCAACTCATTCTGGATTTGGGACACGACGCTGTCGCATCTCATAGATAGAGACCTTTTTCTCTCCTCCCTGACAGGTACCGAATCCGAAACTTCATATAGTGAATACGGCCACTTCTGCTCGCCATTACTTGTCAATGCCATCCTGGCTGTGGCCTCAGTACGTATGACATTTCATGTTCCTCGTATTGTTGTTCCATCAGATTGAAGTGGTAACAAAACGACTATAATGAAAGCTCCATGCGACAAGAAACATCTCTGAAGCAAACTCTGTAGATACCATAGCGCTTGGTCATCAATTTGCCAATCACGCATTCCAGCTTCTAGAATCGGAGTGGGCTGTGAGCTCTTTGACTTTACTACAAGCCGCTGCTGTCCTGTGGACTTTTGCCAGCAATGATGGATCCCACCACGCACGACGACAATGTGCAAGCCTGCAGAGCCTGTTGAGACAAAATTGGGTTTCTGTTGATCTAGGTGGCATAGGCTCCAGGCTGGTCGCATCCTCGAGGAAGGACGACGGTGCTCCCGCGAAGATGTGCCAGGCAGTTTCTCACATAAGTTGGGGATTTTACTGCTTTTTTTCGTGAGTACCTTCTGCGTCTCTCCAATGCGGCACTATTGAGTGGCTAATATGCTCTTTCCAGCAAAGCATCCGTAGTCGCCTCGCCCGAGATGCTAGTCCCGAGGCCTCTTATCAGTAACACATCTCAAAGCTTCAGCAGCCAAATCTATTTCAGGGGGCAGAGTCTAACGTTATATCCAGGCACAGATCCTCCATACTCGGAGGCTTTCGTTGCTGAATGTGCCCTTTGCGAGATCGCTGCCCAATTTGTGACTGAGTCCGCCTGCAACGGCCTGGATGATCGTCGTTCCAAGGCGCTTTATAAAAAGCTTTTTTGTTGGCAACTTTCCTTTACCGATCATCTTGTGGCGGACAGAAGTGTTTCTTCATCTGTTCTGTTGCTTCAGTAAGTGATATCTTTGCTTCCATCTCTTATGCCGCCTCTCCCCTCCAAGAGATGATGTGAACCCCACCTCTGATGACAGTGTCTTCTCAGGGCCAGCTACGACTTTATTGCACTTCGAATCCTGTCCAGTTATTTGAAAAATGCGGACACTGATGTCTTTGACGGTCACGACGCCGCTTCCCTCCAAATTGGCCATGCGAGCTCCATGATGGCCAGCCTTTGGACCTATCGTGGCATACATAAGATTAGGCATGAGTACTGGGCAGCCGAGTACTGCTCCTTTACGGTGCACGAACTCATGCCTCTCCTCGATTTGGGCAATGCGACACTCACCGTACGAGATATCATCGGCAAAGCTTGCTGCATAATCAATGAGATGTCCAATGCCGGAGTATCGGATCGCGCACAGGCAATACTCATCAACATTGAGAAACAGGCAAAATTATCAAAGAGGATAATCCCTGTGTTTGGCAGGCAGTCGGTGAGGGGGGAAACTGGGCCTGTAATTACGATCCACGGGGTGAGGGTGTTCGATGACGGAAAAGACCGGGTGGTAGATTCCCAAACTGAGACTTTCACGGTCAAGTTTCAAGACAAGATTGTTGGTGTTGACTGACGCATATTACGGTGCAGAGCGCTGCGGTTTCGAGATGAAGAATAGGGGTTTTCAATTTTCAATGATAACGCTCTCGACTGACCGTATCGGGCCATTTACGTGCGTTGTACCTCTCTATCAGGTTTATGCGGGGCTCAAAGTCGACAGACGGTTATTAGGCACTCATTTTAAATGTACTGACTGATCCCATGATCGTGTTGGATTCTAACATGCGGCTGGCTAAAGTTGGATATGACTTTGGTTCTTTTCTGTACAGTAGGTGGATGAGCTGTGACCAGTCGGCTGACCGTAGCAAAGTAAATGTTCCACTCATCCACTACAAGTACTGCTCAACATGAATTAGTCTTGCTGTGTAAAAGACAATCTAGATGCCACGCTCCATCGATCAAACTAGACCGGAACCCGTAAGCCATTGTTGTCTGGCTGTACTTCTAACGAGTCTGCCGAGGCGTAGTGTGGACTGATGTATTCGCCCTTAATCCATATTCCTTTGACATTCCGTGTGGCGCTGATGTCCTCCAACGGGTTGCCATGGACGAGCACGAGATCGGCTCTAAGACCGCCTCGAAGAGCCCCTCGATCGCCGAGGTCAAATGCCTTAGAGGCAACACAAGTCGCTGAGCGCAAAACATCCAGATTTGGCATACCAGCGTCAACAAGCAAGCGCAGTTCCTCGTGTAGACTCTCGCCAAATGGCATCTGAGTTCCTGGTTTCAGATTCGCCGTCGTACCCGCGCAAATCGTGACGCCGGCTTTGTGGAGGGTCCGCACGCTTTCTGTCGCGTTCGCATAGTTGGTTCCAACTGTTGCACCTGGCACAACATTTCCCATCTCTGTATCTTGCGCTTCTGAAACGATGTTTGACGATGTGCTTCGGTCGACGTTGTCTGTGGTAGTGCTAGAGGATGCTCGTTCTGATGCCGCCTGGTTCTTCATCATGGCAAGCGTTGGGATGAAAATCTTGCTCTTTGCAGCCATTTCCTGGGCTATTAGTTCATCTATTGGTGCGTCCAGAGGCGCATGAACGAAGACGTCGAAGCCAGCCCTCATAGCACGTTCATAAGACGCTTTGCCCATGGTGCGTGCCACCGTCAACTTTTCGTGCACATGGGCGAGATCCACGATGGTTTTGAGAACTTCATCGGTATGTAATTGTAGGCCAACGACGACTTTAACAAAGTCTGCGCTGTCTGGGCCGCTCAATTTCCCCGAGACAAAAGCCTCTGCATCTTCGCGCGTGCGAATCACAATAATAGCCGGGTCGTTGTACACCTGCAGACGATCTTCGCTCATGGTCGTCGGTGCCGCTTCTGTGCCGGAAGTGAGGAAAGACGCCAGCCCTATCTTGCCAGCGGCAAACACGCGCAGTGACTGGCACTGCTCAGTACTGCTGCTGAGATCGATGACAGTGGTCACACCATAACTAGCGAATGTGCCTAGCGCTGCGTTCGTGCCCTTGATATTCACGTTGACGTCGATGAGCCCCGGAATCAATGTGCAGCCGTGGCCGTCGATAACATGATCTGAAGTTTCGATATCGGAATCATCTGCCATCATGTCGTCAATGTTGCCGGCCGACCTGGTAAACACTACACTCCTAGCAGCTTGAACAATGTTGCTGTCAAAAACACGCACGTTTTTTATTAGTAACTTGGTCATTGCTCGTTAGATTTTGACACAGGAAATGCGCGATGCGGTTGTTTCTTCGGCTGCAATGACACGAGGTGATAGGTATGATAGACGTAAGGTGGACGTGGTTGTAGTCTTGTGGTTGCCGAATCTCACGTAGTTGAGAAATTTTGACAATTGAGTAGTGTGTTTGGCTAGGTAGCTCGGAAAAGAACTTGCTCTCATTGAGACAAGTCGCTGCTAAAAAGATAGCAGACCAACGAGCATGATACAGATAGGCGGCTAGGTTCAGCAGTGGCGATCATGTCAGGTCATTGTGCGTATGAACGGCGTCCAACGCCGGGCGTTGCAGCCAATTGGAAGTTTCCAGGTTTTGTGCGGAGTAATACACCACAAGGGACCCCTTCCATGACAGCAGGCACTCGTGGGCTAAACCAGATTTTGTTATAAAAACTGGTGCCGCCGTCAGAGGACCGTCATCGTTTGCTCTCCCCCCCCCCCCGCCCCTTCCCCCCGGGCGCGCTGCTGTTATGAACGGAAACTCAATCTTGCGAATCTACTAGTAGAAAGGAAGGTACAATTAGAGTACACCATCGTCCCGACATGGCCTAGGATCGATCAAGTCTCTAGGGTAGCTAGAGCTAATCTTATATTCTCTATAATACCAAACTTCTTTTAAGTAATTATTACATCAAATAAAATTCTAGACAAGGTTTCTTTGAACTTGATACTGATACTTAGATATTAGTAGACTAGTGCGCTATTGCCCCTTATCAGGGTACATGTCTAAGGTAGATGAGAATAAATAGAATAACATTGATGTTTGAGCAAAAGCGGAAGGCCTTCTTGAGGTAGTCGATGTCGAAACTCACCTGAATTCAACGGTGTCATTAGTATCTGGACACATGAGTTTGCCAAATATGCCTAATTTCGGTTCCTTGATTACTCGATCAGCCTACCGGCTTGACTCATAAATGGCGCTGTTGTGCCGTCGGGACAAGAGTGCTTGTAAGCCCGGGAGTAATCAGTCCGCGACGAGGCCAAGATTGAATAAGAAACGATTCTATGTGAATGTCACTTACCCTACCGAAGATTCCGGCGCCAGACAGCGCCAGACGGAAAAGGTCGTTTGGTTTTTGGGCATGGCACAGCCTGCGACAAGAAGGGCTCCATGCCGGGCGGCTGCATACATGAGAGGGACTTTGGTTCACCCCTTGTAGAGATCAACATACAGTCAGCAAAGAGGAATGACTTTAGAGGTCATGTGCACAAATGCCGATGTCAGCAATCCATCTGCGGTTCAAACGACCTAAGAGTCAATACATAGCCAGGATTATGTGTATATCTGGACGGTTGTCAGTACCTTATATTGAGCACCATGCACTTGTAAGAATCTCTACCTGGGGCAGGAGCATGTTGATTTTGATCTTTTCTACATTAGCTTTAATGGCCGCAGCAACCATCATACCAGGGCCTCCTGGGCCATACCCCGTCGCCTTGCGGGTGAAAGCGTTCGAAGACGCAGCACGATGGGACCCTCACGCCCCTCAAGACCAACCTGAGAAGCGAAGGGTTATGGTCTCCGTCCACGTTCCCCTGAAGAAGGAAGTCAAATGTTCTGTCGAAACCGTCCCCTATATGCCGCATACCACAGCAGTCGCCCTAGGCCAAGGAGCCGCGACCCTGTTTGGGCTGCCGGACACAATCTTCTCCGGAATGGAGCTCGAATTCTGCAACATCGACACAGCTTGCGCCGAGCCCGGAAAAGGTGAGAAGCACCCTCTCTTCCTCTTCTCACATGGGCGAGCTAGCTCAAGACTTGCGCATGGTGTGCTTGCGCGGTCTTTTGCCAGTTATGGGTACATCGTCGTCACTCTGGACCATACATATGATGCTGCGATCGTCGAGTTCCCTGATGGAAGCATCAGATTTGCGGAGAACGCAACGAATAACGACATGGCTTACGTTGAGAGCCTTCTTGAGGTGAGTCTGCCCCTGGAGAAACAAGCTGTGTTGATACGAAGACCCTAAATATCGCGATCCCGCAGAGTCGTCAGAAAGATGTTTCCTTCATAATCGACCAGCTTTTAGACCCTTCAGTAGCTACACCGCTACTCGCTGGAACACAGGCCTCCATCAAGCCGGAGAAGATCTTCGTCGCAGGTCATTCCTTCGGGGGCGCCACGGTAGCTTCATCTCTCTATGCTGATGACCGCGTCCTCGGCGGCCTAAACTTTGACGGTCAGATGGTCGGACCAGTCCAGACCAAAGGCACCGACAAACCCCTAGTGCTTGTCAGCACACCGACAACATTTGACTATATTTCCGGCTGGAATGAGACCTGGGCTAATCTGCGCGGTCCGTCCTTGATGTCAATCGTCAACGGAACAACCCACATGTCTTTCTTTGACGCTCCGCAACTTCCGGCCGTCAAGGCCTTGCCCGCAGAGTATTCTGGTCTCATCAAGCAAGTTTTGGGCACCATAGATGGCGATGTGTTGGCCAAGATTGAGATTGAGCTCTTGCGGCGGACACTAGACTTTGTCTTGGAGGGTAAGAGGGAGGCGTTGTGCAATATTGGGAACGTAGGTCCCGGTGTTGGCCAGCTGCGAGTCAAGAATTTGAAGTGCACTTAAACGAGTGCAAGTAGTGCTGAGAGATGGACTCGCCACTCTGTACTTTTAGAAACTCTAGTCAACAGAATAATATGTTCTCCCCTCAAATTGAGATTAATCACTTCACTAATTCAAGCATGCAGCACGTCGGACTTCGTTGTCTAGGTAGGTATTCCAGGTTGCGATCGTAAGTGGCTACGTCTGAAGGTATCACTCTCTGAACGAGTTAAATCTTAATGTAATTGATAGGATCGTTTTGGTCTACAGAAATGACTGGCTTAGAAGAGGAAACCCGCGCCCCTATCGCATCAAAAGAAGCTCTTTGACCACCTGACTGCTCATGCCGATCGACATATAAGCAAGCTCTTACCATCATAAACAGCCTTATTGATATTTTCCTGTGTAGGCTTCCAGAGGTATTTTCATCAGAGAAAGTACCAAAGAAGCATCCGGTAAGAGTACTAGGACTGGGTGTGATAGTCGTAGGAATAAAAGTTGAGGATGTAACGGCCTTTTTGTACCTGAAAACCTTCTCGAGAATTGACAAAGAAAGATCTTTAAAACGTTAGCGAGATCTTAGAAACACCTCAAAGCTATGCTGACCTAGCATTCCTAAGTCTGTCGTTGCTGGTACGTCTAGATCCTGAGGAGCCTCTACGGTAGAGGCCCTTCTGCTGCAGGTATCACAAAACAATGTGACCTTGAGTTCATTTCTGTGACCTCCTTGGGAAATTCGTGATCAAACCACAACAGGTGTGGCATCCTTCTCTAGCTCAACGAAGCACAAATCTTTCGGAAGATCTAGATGAGGAAACCGATCAACAGGAAACGGCGATATTTCACCTGTCCTTCTGTACCCACGGCGCTCGTACCACGCAAGCAACTTCTCGCGAGATGAAAGTGCATTTAACCCAAACCTCTTGATGTCGTAATTCTGCCAAGCGTACTCCTCGGCAGAGCCAAGAGCCTGGCGCCCGATGAGGCTGCGCTGCAGCTGAGGATTCACAGAAAGCATGGCAATACGGGCCATTTGGGTTTCGCGGTTGACGACAACTTGGACCGTGGTCGCGAGGACGCCGTGGAAGTCAAAGCCCATGAGGACTACTGCATCCGCGTTGTTGATGGTGGCGAGAGCCTCATCGGCTGAGTAGCGGAACGATCTGCCGAGTTCCATGTCGGCCGTCCAATCTGCTCGGCTGTCTTCGGCGCGGAATGCGGCCTCTACGAGTTGCGCTACTTGGAGAGCGTCGTCTTGAGTTGCAGGGCGGAAAGTTACGGAGATAAGGTCGTTCATCTCGGCCATGTTGATTGTGTGCGGGGTTGTGAACGGAAGATTAGAAGTGGTTCGATGTCGAAATGTTGGTAATGAAGTGTTGCTGGGTGGAACAATTGGAGTTCTTATCGAAAAGCAGGAGAAAGACCCTTCTACACAAAAAAATGCATCTTTAATAATGTGGTTTTAAGGGCGTTTGCCGTGACAAGTCGAAGACATTGGGTGGACAATTCGTGTAACGGGAAGGGCGTCCGTCTGTCAGTCCAATAGCAAGGGCGTAGTGTTTCTGCCTCAAGTTACAAGTAACCCCACAAATAGACGCCAAAGACAGGCAACTGCATAATGAGAGATATCAACCTGCGGTTCATGATTTACGAAACTCAAACCATTCTATCCAAGAACACCCTCATATTCAGTTCGAGGAAAGAAGTTGCTCGCTTGCTTGTAATTCACGGGATTTGAAGTGGATGTAAGCCCTGAAATGTGACAGATTAGTGTGACTTTACCGATCAGTCGATATGATGCTGATGCAGCCACTGGTCTCGCTTGTGAGTGAGCATACAGATCAGAATCTAGCTAACGGTCGTTCATAGGTGGCACTTCTGTGTTCACTGCTTCAATCAAAGCCTAGACGCGTCAAACTTGTATTCAAGGTTGTATCGCCGAAGAAGAATATTGTCACCAAGCAATCGAAACTCTCAGCTTTCAATAGGAACATTAGCATGTATGCCTTCTATATGTTTAGTTTATGTCTCAATCCAACTGCTTGAGGTATTATGTACTGGAGGTATGTTGAATCTAATTTGCGTATGCCTGGATCATGTATTCATGTACTCGCGTAAATGCTTCCTCTTCCTGAATATGACTCGCTTAAAGACAATGCACCAATCGTCGCGGTGATTTAAACAGGGCCGGCAACCACCACCAAGGCAAGGACAGTGACGCCGAGCGATGCCACATTCCATGTAAGAGCCCCAGCCGCGTTCTGGGATGTCGGAGTAGGAGAGGATGCAGATGCAGCATCAGCAGATGTCGGGGCTGCCGTGGTTGATCCTCCTACAGCCGATGATGCTGCAGTAGGCGTCGCGCTCGCCGATGAGCTCGAGCTCGCTGGTGTTGACGAGGTCGACGTTGCACTGGTCTTCGAGGACGATGACGACGTCGTCGTGTCTGCCTTGCCAACCATCTCCTGCACCCATTTACCCGCGTCGCTGGAGTAGACATCAAAGTAATTGAGGTGGTTGGCCGCGGTGTCTCCTCCGGCGCAGATCGGATCGGATTCGACACAGTACGAGCGCATCACGCTGGAAAAGGCCCGCATGCCGGCAAGCTGGTTCTCCGGTCGTGGGAAGAGCCCGTTGTCCGGAGCTCCCGAGAGATAGTTGTACGGTTGACTGGCCGTATGTCTTGTATCGCCAAAGATGAGCACAGCAGCAACTGCGAAAGGTCCGGTATTAGCAACTCCCCGTCCTCACAAGTTGCGACACATGCAAACTTACGTTTGTTGCCGGGCGCCTTGGTGGCATCTAGCCCAGCATTCGCTTTCTGCTGACAACCCTGGAAGAACGTGCCACCTCCACCACCCAAAACATCACCAACAACATGGCCGCCCTGGGAATACCCGCTCACGACGAGCTTCGCGTCCGGACAGCGCTTGTTGTACGCCGTGATCTGCGCGGTGCCATTGGCGGCGCCTTCTTCGATGGACTGGCAGTACGGCGCCTCGAGCGGGTTATAGAACTGAATGTCCTCGTAGTCGCAGCTGTCGAGCCCGTCGCAGATGGCGGTGACGAGCTTGCCCTGGCGTCCTGGGTAGGGCTCGTTGTTCCCGCGCGCGAGGAAGATGTGCACGCTCTGGCAGTTTGCGTCGCCTGTGGCCTGGCGCGGGGTGACGATCGCGGTACCCGAGGTCAATGGCAGCGTAGCGGAGAGGAGGGCGAGAGCCGCCGAGAGGGATGAGACCATCGTGAGCTTGATCTATGGGCCTGCAGCGGGCCGTTTCGTTTTTGGTGAGAGAATAGCGAGGAGAAGCAAATGTCAATAGGCGAATTGAACGTACGCGACATCGGCTACCAAGCTGTTTTTAATAAGTCCGTCTGTCGCAATGGACTCCTACCCCTTGCGGTTAAGGCTGGAGATAGATGAGATGCCCCAGAGCCGGCGAGCCGGTGGGTGGCATTCCGGAGGCCGTCCGTTACGGGCAAATACGAGTCAACGATAAGCCCTGATCCACCAAGGTCCAGGGATCCCAACTGTCGCAGCCCCGGTCTATCTGCCATAGTAACGTCATGTTCTCCTCTGTGTTGGAACTTAGCGCTGTCAAACAAGGCCTTGCAGGTTCTGACAGACGAGACGAGCAGCTGAGAACTCCTTCTGATCGCCCGGCAAGTGGATATTGTCGGGCTCCGGCCGCGACGAAGCGACAAAGACGAAAACAATCATGAAGTCGAATCGTTTACCCTTTGAGAATCACAGAGAATGGTTCCTGGAATGACTCGTTGAAGTGGTTCTCTTTAGGTGATGGTTTACAAGGAACAACCACGGCAAGGAGCTGGCATTGGATGACCATTGACATTGGCCCAATGCGCTTCGGGTTGGAGGCTCTTATTGCGCAGTATGTTGACGGCGACCAAAATAGACTGGCGGAAGTGTCGGATTGAGTGTGGCTGGTTTGTCTCGCGGTGAACATGGATCAACGAAGCTCGGAGCCCGCATTCAGGGCAACGGGAATCCCGACGCGGCACTTAAGCTCGTGGAACCGCCGTTATTCGGTGAGCAGAAATTGCCTCTTTGTTCAACTTCTGGTCAATGTTGAGTCGCTCACGCTGATATCAATCAATGCCATGTTGACGGTTGAGCTCAACTGAGTTGCAATCCAGGACAACCGGGCAACTGAGTTGATTTGAAATACCAGCAACTCCAACTGCTGCATTCGTCTAGCCTCAGGGTATTGTCTCGCAGTAAAAAGATGCCGAGTGGGATGAGAATGCCGCAAACGAGTTGCTTCAGTTACGAAGGACACTCCTTTTTGGAAACAGTCAATTCAATCATTGCAGCAGACTTTGGTTTTGAGGTTCCAAGTGCTGCCCTGCTGATTTATAATTCAGGTACAGGAACCTAATTGCAGTCATTTCATGATGCACTCTACAAGTCGCTCTAACTCCTGGGATCCTCAATTCAGATTCGCATCAGCCCAATTGTTGTGCCCACTAACCAGACGTGAAATCAAGCGTTGCATTGCCTTGCATTGCCGGGACGTTACACTGTCGATCCCGTTCACACAAGGCAGAATGGCACAGACTGAAAGCTTGGCAAAGGTAAGCTGAACTCGCATCATTGAAGAACGATAATACGACTGCATCAATTCATCTATCTTTGCACTTACCTTGAATGGATCTCAAAGCCCATACTGCATTTACGAGATTCGCTGATTACATGGTCGCAAACAATATCTTGGCATTGAAGAGTTGTGGATGAGTTCCTCGGGATGCGATAAAGATTGGGTTTAGAGTGCCCGGTTTCCCATTGCGACCTTCCTCATCCTCCATCTCGACCGCTTCAGGGGTACCCGCAGAGGTGCGCCATCATGCCATTCAAGCAGCATCGCACAACACGAAAGCGAGACGGTGGCGGCGCCACGACGATGACTTAAGGTGCGGTTCGTCCCGCGACTCTAGTCTGAGTTTTGGTGTCTTGTTTCTCGGACTTTGTCGCCATCTTGACAAGATAGGACAACCCGCCACGATGAAGTTCTTGGCTACGACAACCGTTCTCGCATCCTGGGCGACTCTTGGCGTCAGCGCCGCAGTCCAGGAGAGGCAGACCACAAAGCCTCTGGTCGACTCCGCCAGCTTTCAAGAGCAGATCACCAAGGAGAAGTACGCCTTTTTGCCCAACTTTCCCCTCGTCCACACGAAAATCATTCCTAACATGAACACAGCCTGCAAGCCAACCTGGTCCAACTGAGCGACATCGCAACAGCAAACGGCGGCAACCGCGCCTTCGGCCTCCCAGGCTACGCCGCCTCCGTCGACTACGTGTTCAACCGCATCTCCAGCGCCGCCGGCGCCAAAGTCTGGAAACAGGACTTCTCCGCCACCTACAGCACCGAGCTCCGCGCCAACCTCACCGTCAACGACGAGAAGCTGACCATCTACGGGCTCTACGGGTCCCCCGACACGCCCGCCGAGGGCATCACTGCGCAGCTCGTCGCGGGGCCAGAGGGCACCGCCGCCTGCGAGGCCGCTTCCTACGAGAACCTCGACGTCAACGGCAAGATTGTGATTGTGACGGAGTCGGTGTGTCCCGGGTACCGGGATGGGTTCCACGCTGGTGTGATGAAGCCCGCTGCTGCAGCGGGTGCGACTGCCGTTATTGTTGTTAATGATATTGCGCTGAATCTTACGGCTGGGAACCTTGGTCCGGCTGATGATGGAACGTTTGTCCCTACGGGCTTCGTCAACCAGCACATTGGCGTTCCGCTCCAGGCTCGGTTGGCTGCTGGGGAGGTACTGACGGCTTTCTTCTGGGAGGCTGAGGTTGTCGATAGCCGCGTCACGCAGAACGTGTTTGCTGAGACGGAGGGTGGTGATGAGAACAACGTGATTGTCGTAAGTCATGCGCGCCCTGGATAGTACCAGGTAGACTTCTAACGAGTTTCTAGCTCGGTGCCCATCTGGATAGCGTTGCATGGGGTCCAGGTATCAACGACAACGGTAAGAGACTCTGTCTTCCAGTGAACTCGTTCACAAAGTTTTCAAGGACTCATAATTATCAGGTTCCGGAACCTCACTCCTCCTCGAGCTCTTTCTGGCCCTCACAAAATACACCACCAACAACAAAATCCGCTTCGCGTGGTGGGGCGCCGAAGAAAAGGGCCTCATCGGATCCCGCTACTACGTCAACAACCTCGCCACGCAAGAGCGCGACAACATCCTGGCCTACCTCAACTTCGACATGGTCGCAAAGGGCTACTACGGCGTCTTTGACGGCGACGGCGCGTCTTACGGCGTCCCTGCCCCGCCCGGCTCCGACGTCATCCAGGAGCTCTTCACCGCCGACTTTGTCGCCAAGGGCATCAATGTGACTGCCGCGAGGTTCACCAACGGCAGTGATTATGCCTCCTTCTGGCAGGTCTTGGGCAAGCCTATCGGTGGCCTTCACACGGGAACGGGCTCTGCGCAGGATCCCTGCTATCACCAGCCGTGCGACAACATCAACAACCCGGACCTGGACCAGCTCACGGTCAACGCGAAGGCAAGTCATTCAAGTTATTATGCGAGGTTTATTTAAGTATTTGAGTGCTGACTTTCATGGATAGACTACTGCTCATGTCCTGTCTGCCTTAGCCCTCGACGGAACCAACCTGATCAAGAAGCTGAGCGCTCGCGTGCTTCCCGCCCGCGCCGTTGTGGCTGAACGGGTCATCGCGACTGTGGAGGAATCCGAGGACGAGCATCACCATTGCTAATCTGGTACGATAGAGAAAGTAAGCTGTAGCAAATGCAACACCTCTAATGAAGAATCTCGGCGATTTCCAACCTTAAAGCCTGCTCTTCGATGTCTCCTTTCGGACGACGTTAGCTCCTGTTCCATCTCTTCCGTGGCGAGTCAATTTTCGGCCGACAAGCTCACGGTGATGAGCGTAGTATGTGTTCTAGAGGCCACTGAAGGCGAAGATGTTGCATTTTGGGGAATTCACCCGCTACCCGAGTACCTCTCAAGCGGGGATATCGGCCATATAAAAGGGGCTGCCGCACACAGGTTCATTGGGATGATCAGTGAAACAGCATCGTCCAGTGTGGCAGGGCTCGCAGAGAGGCTCCCATGGAAACCGAACCCAGCATGGTTTTCAACTAGATTAATCTGTAGTTACGGACTCGTAGGTTCACAACTATCTACGGGTTCGGCAAAGAGGGCAATCATTGCTCGTCGTTGGGATGGTATACAGCAGAGAATAAGCCCCACATGGCGGGAATTAGCTTGAGACAAATCAATATTCTCTCTTGATCCTAATAATCGATGCCTCTTGATGCCGTGCTTTCAAGATATTCCGGGTCTCGATGGCTAGACCTTGGAACAAGACATCGTCGACTGGCATCGTTGCGGGGTCTTAAGGTCCAGCATCTGCCGGCTGCGTCCATCGCTATACGCCACCTGAAGGACCTGGTAAACCATACGTCTGAACGCATTTCGCCGTGGCGACGCAAAGTACCTAGATTACCAGCCAGAAACCAGTTTCCAGAGGCCAGCGGCAAGTCCCCAAGAGCCCGCGCCTTCTTCTTTATCCCCTTCCACTTCACCTCCCTTCCCCGGGACCTCCGTCTCCTTCATCTCCGCAACCGCAAGCTTGAACCCAAACCCGAGATCACTCTGCATCCTCCGATGCTCCTGTACCATCTCCTCCTTCGTCCGCCTCTCAATCTCACCCAGCTCCTTCCGCCGCACCTCAATCTTCTCAAACTTGGCCTGATACTTCACCGCCAGCGCATCCTTCTTTCGCTCCGAAACGGCCAGCACCATCTCCATTTCCTCCCTCAGCAGGCCCAGCTTGGCCATACACTCGTCCTGACGCAGCAGCTTCGCGAGGCTCTCTGCGTCAGCGAGGTACGCCTTCACATCCGCGACGCACAGAACCTCGCGATGGACGGCCTTGTGCCGAATCTGCTTGATCGATTCGAAGAAGGCGTGCCAGCCAGTATGCGGCAGGGGCACCGTCTCAGCCTGAAATGTATCAAACACCTCGTTCTTAAAGATCCACATCCACTTTTGGAGTTCGACACACTCGGGCGACTCCCATTGTCCTGCTTCCAGGATCTTGGGGTGCGCCTGCTTCGCGTAGTCGAAGCAGGCTTTCTCTAGAAGGTTTTGGATCTTTGTGAAGAGAGCGTGTTGAGCTTCGTATGATAGGAAGGCGGTGCGCAGCCCGGGAAAAGTGGCGGTCTCTATAGGTGGCTGTTGCGCTGTTGCCGTTGCCGTTGACTCGGCGATGGCGGTGTCGCTGCTTGTCGTGGCGATGCTGCCCATCGCATCACTCATGGTGTCGCTTGCCGCGTCGCCCACCTCCCCTGTAGCCTCAGCAGCATAAGACTCTGGAATGGCCACCATATTTCCTTCAAACTCGGGCGGTGGACCTACAACCGCAGCTTGCAACCTAGAAGTCCTTTTGGCCTTGCTCTTTGCTATGAGCGTCACGATCTGCTCCTTCCAATCTGTCTCCTGTCTCGTAGCTTCAGGGTTCTCTGGCGCATTCGCTGGTGTAGCTACCTGTGGCGAAGGTGAACACTGGAATAAATGAGGAAACTGCTGCTCGGCCTTCCACCTGCTTTCGAAGATCCCCTTCTCAAGGAGCTCCTGGCACGTACTGACAACAGCTGGCCGGGTATATTTCAAGTCCAGAGCGTTGATCGCTGGGCCCAAGCAGGCGTGGATTCTGCGTTTGATGGCTTTCTTATCACGGGTCTCGGCGTGGTGTTTGCAAAAGACATCCTGCATGGCAAGGTAAACCTCCTCTCCCACCGTCGAATCCATACTGGGCGAACGTTTCTTGTCGTATATCAAAAGGATTCTGTGGGTGCCCAGCCTGGTTTCAGAAGGGCCAGAAGGTCGTTGATGAAGTGGATGTGGATGCTCTGACGGAATTGAAGGGTCATTGGGTTGCATCATCTTTCAACATGTATCTGTCGATGGGTACGTCGGAGAAAGGTTCCAAAGGGTTGGTAAGTTCCATAGGGTAAACAGGAAAGACTGGAATGAATATCAGTTGCAACTTCAAGAGAGAGGACCACCTTGATGGAATGCACCACAACGATCCCACGGTAACCTCTCGGTCCTATGGGCCCAGATGCAAAGCGAATTCCAACTCGTTCTCAGGGAAAGTGAATGAATAACTCATGGGATTCGTAGACATACTCTTCAACTTGGTTATTCCTACGTTGCTGAGACTAGGACTCCGGTTGAGCATGGTAGATCACCGTGAAAGGTCGAGAAGAAAGCTTAACAGCATGTGCTCATCGCGGTGTCAAGCTCATGGCTTTGAAGAGACAGTTCCTGAAGATTAGACAAAGACTCATAATTCAAGATAGCTGATTGAGTTCCTTTCCACGAGATATTCATATGAATGAGGGAATGATGTCTCCGGCTTCCTTTGGGTCTGGTTTTTCCTTCTTAACTGGAGCCCGCCGCTGAGGCCTCGAATTTGCTCTGCGGTTCTTGAATCTAGTAAAGAGATCATCGTCGTCATCGCCATCGTCTTCATCGTTCGTGGGTTGTGTGTTCGTAGCCGCTCTGGCGGATGAGATCGGTTTCGGAGCCGCTGCTCCCAAGGTTCCGCGACCATTTGTGGACGCTCTCGCTTCTGATATTCGCGTGCTGCTTGAATGCGTCGTACGTTGCTGATGGCTAGGTCGGTTCGAGACCCTTGCCATAGTTTTTGAGGGATAAGCCGGTCTTGTGTGTTCGATATCCCTCCTGACCCGAGCTTTGACGGGTCCTCCGAGGTCATCACTCTCATCCTCCGTCATCGCCTCATCCGCCGGCGTCCTCCTCTTCGCCGGTGCCACCGACCTCTTACCCTGAGAAGACCTCACCACGCCCCCAAACAGCCCCGAAGCCGACGTCCTCACCGCCCCCGAATCCGCCCTCGTCAGCGCCATCAGCGGCACCTCCTTCTTCTTGGGACTATCCATGAGCCCCTGCAGCGATGTGCCCCGCCACGGCACACTCGTCTCGTCCCCAGTGTCCTCGTCGTCGCGGCCGGCATCCCTCTTTGCGCGGCGCAACGCCTCGCGCTGCTTCTTCTTACGGAGCAGCTCCTCCTGGCGTTTGCGCGCGAGCTCGGTGAGGGACCCGACGACGGGGCGGGAAATGGTTTTGATGGTTTCTGCGTTTTGGGTGCGTGTTTGGGCTTTTAGGCGCTGGTATTCTGCCGCGTGGAGGTGTGCTGTGAAGTGACCTGCGATTGTGACGAGCTCGTCCTCGACCATGCGATACTTGTCGTCATTTTCGAGACCTTCTACCATGAATCTGTATGCTTGTCAGTGATCCGCAGATTTTGGGGTGAGAGGGGGATGAGTACATTTCTGGAAGAGGTTCGGGTGGTGGTGAAGTTGAAGGGCTTCTGCCTATGAGAGGTCAGTGAGAGAAATGATGTGAGCAGGCGCAACTCATACCTCTGAGGAAACCATTTGAGCGGGCTGATTTATGATTCGAGTGATCCAGCGGCGACGCAACAGCTGTTGTTGCTCGAGACACGGCCCGATTTGGTGTCGCGATTCTGCGAGGTGTCGATGCAGTCTTTCCCTTTTGAGTTGCCGTCCGTTCCAGTGCATTACGGTCCCAGGGAAGTTGTCGCGTCATGACTTCGATAGTGTGTGAAAGATCTGATGCGATGAGGCTGTGGACGGGAAAGTCTCATAATCTGGATTTCTCAAGTCGATTTCATCAGAATAAACTGAGATTGCATGAGATGTTTGATCACGACTGCCTGCAATGAGCGGTCCAATAAGGTCGATGTGGTTGAATGAAGCTCGTCGCGCCTTCCAGGTGAGACTGTTAGAGGTGCATGTGCACTAGGAATTATGCAAGAGCATGCATAACCATCTCCGAATGCGCGCCCCGCATTCTGCATAACTGTCAAAGCATCAACACCCATCACCATCAAAAGAACGAGACGCATCGCAGAGAAGACATCTTGATACGAAAGGAAAGTACCCGATCCAGGATATGACTATTTTAAACGCTGAGTATGCCCCATTTTATCTATCATCCGTAACCCAGCCCAGACAAAATACACACCACACCAACATATACCCTTCAACCCAGGTTGAATTCACTGGCCGCATTCATCACAGCCCTCATCTTCATCTTCATCTTCCTCTCCATCTCACTCGGCTCAGCACCAGTATCGATATCCTCCATAGCGTTTCCACCCGAGGACCTGCTGTCTCCTCTTCTCTTGCCGGCGTTCTTCTGCTTCATGACCGCCTTCTTGCTGTCGTGGCCGCCGCGTCCGATGCCTGATGGCGCTTCGCGCAGGCCATACGCCTTTGCCATGTGACCGAGATGAAGCTCGTTGATGACAAAGTAGACGCGCTCGTCCTTGATGTGGGTCGCGTACGCCCTAATGTGCGAGCGGAAGGCCTTGCGAGCCTCGTCCAGGAGTTTTGTTGCCGATTCGAGGAGAAGTCGCTGTTCCAGGTGAAGCTGTAGATTCTCGGCACGGTTGCTGAAGCCTCTATCGGTCGCGGGCTGGGGCTTGGTGTCCGTTTCAACAGGGAATTCCATGCCTGTCGTGAAGCCCTTGTGCAGGATAGTGTCGTAGAGTTCAGGCTTGGGAGGTGAAGTATTCTTGGATTTGAGGAGGTCGATGTAGCCTTCTTCGCAGCCAGGCATAAGGAAGAGAACCGCCTTACCAGGCTTACCGGCACGTGCTGTACGACCGATACGATGGACGTGGTCGTCTGCGCTGAAGGCGGGGTCGTATTCGACTACAAGCTCGACGGAGGGTACATCGAGACCACGGGACGCAATATCGGTGGTAAGCAGTACTGTTGGGTCTGTACATTTGCTGTAAGACGCCAACGTAGCTGTACGGACTGGCTGAGGGAGAGAGCCGTGCAGTTTATGAAGGACGATATTTGTGTTCGCCGCTGATGTGATGTACGCCGAGGACGCGACGGTATTTGCGGTTGCCGACGTTGCGTTATCGGCTGAGCTTTCCTCCTTCTTCGGCGGCTGACGAAGGAGATCGAAGTGATAGTCGACTGAATCGGCACAGGAAAAGAAGACGATGGCTTTCATCACCGACCCCTTCCGTGAAAATGTTGACTTCAGCAGTGCTATGAGCGTCACCAGCCGCAACTTGGCTGGTACAATCAGGTAATTCTGCTTCAGTTGTGCCGGCGCCTCGAACTTGATCTCTTCTCCCTCGACATGGTCCTCTCCCGATGTGGTGATGTGAACCGCATCCTCGAGACTGATCTCGCCAAGCTTCTGAACGTTCATCTTCATGGTGGCCGAGCAAAGAACAGTCACGCGACGCTGCGGGAGGTTGGCGAGGGACACGCCGTTGGCTGTTTTGTCCGCCAGGGGATTCTCACGGATCCTGCTGACGATGGTGCGTAGTTCCGCCTCGAAACCCATCTCCATCAGACGATCGCCTTCATCGAGAACTAGCCACCTCACGGTGCCGACATCAAGGGTCTTTGTGTGCTCGAGGTGATCGCTCAAACGACCAGGTGTTGCGATGAGGATGTTTACACCTTTCCGCAGGCGGCTCTTCTCAGAGTGTTTGCTCTCACCACCAATGACTGTTGTGCTGACGAGGTAGGGCGGGAGGACCTTTGCGAGCACGAGCTCAATCTGTCTGCAAAGTTCACGGGTAGGTGCCATAACGATGGCGAACAAGCCCGAGTCTCTCTTGATCTGACCCTCGACGGACAAAATCCGCTGGATGATGGGCAGGAGATACGCCAAAGTCTTTCCGGAACCGGTTTGCGCCTGCACAAAAGCATCGCTGTCTTCTTTGATGAGTTGAGGGAGGACCTTGGCCTGGATAGCTGTCGGCGCCTTGAGCTGAATCTTGCCAGAGAGCGTCAACGCCAGTCGTCTTGAGATACCGAGGGCGTGGAAGCTGGCAGCTTCATCGGAAAGCGGCGCGTTTGAAGGCTCAGCAACCTTCTCCTCGACCTTCTCAGCACCGGGCTCATCGAAGACAGTCTTTGGCGTGGGGTTGTAAGAGAAGAGTTTCGATGAGATTTGGCCGTCTCTCAGCTTGTTCGCGATACTGCCGGGCGGCATTTTTCCAGTCCGGTAGGCCGTCGCATGAGGATGCTCTGGCCGCGCTCGCTTCGCCGGGCGCTCAAAAGAATCGTCGTCATCGCCAGGGCGGTCTGACCTCTGGGGTTTCTTGGATCCAGGTGTGTATCTTTGCGGTAGCGGGGCATCGTCTTTGGCTGTTGATGAAGCATCTTTTTCAGTGCCTTTATTCGCAATCCGGTTGGCCTTATTCCTGTCGCGCCAGCGACCACCCTGAATCTTGACATGGGGCTTGATAGGGCCACTGCCCATATCAAAATTGAGAATCATGCCATCGTCCGCCATTTTGTCGATGAGATTTGCCGTTGGTCGCGAAACTGAGGCGCTGGGTTGCCGAGACTCGGTGGAAATTTTCAGGCAAGCAAAGTCTTATCGCTTTCGGTGTTTAGATAAGCCCCACGCCATTTTACCTCTTGCAGGGGTGCTCGGGCCACCGTTGAAATTGGCCCCGTTTTTTATCAGCTTCAACCTAATGGAAGACATGATATCCTAGAACCTGTCTGGTTGTTCACACCTCTCATTATCATCATCATAAGACAGTCTAAAATAGATATCTTCTGTACTACGGTATACGCTAGTTCTACCTCTCAAGGAGGGTAAACTCTCGTTTTCCCTTATTTCCCTGAAGAATTGCTAAAGATCGTTCTCTATCAATACTGCCAGATCTCAACTCATTCTGACTCTGGTCTTGCTTCTCGCTTCACGCTGAGATAGTCTTGGCTTGGTGCGGTGATGGCTTTGTGAGATTCTGCTCTTATCCTAGATTTAGCATTCTTTTCGTCAATACTTTCCGACACATTTCTCTTCAACTTTATCGTTCTCAGATTTTTGGTCTGTCTTCCGTGTCCGTATATTCCTCCCCGTAGCTTAGTTCGTCGAGACTGGGGGGCGATGGGCGATGGGCGGAAGTGCCCTTCTAAAGTACGAATTCGGAGCCGACCTCACGCACGGGCGCGACTTTTACCTCGCTCTCTTCCGACTCAGCAGTATCAAGTCCGACTAGGAAAAGAACCTGTCTCGTGTGGTGAAAGCGGCTCCATTTCGCCGGCCTTCCAGTTTCAGCTAGGAAATCGAGCCAATATATCAATAAATGAGATTCCCTTTCCCGAGGTGGACTTCACTACTGGCCTACCTCTCTTTGGAACCATTCTTATTCTGCATTTTCCTCTCGGTTGTTGGAATACCATGGAAATCGATATTTTCTCTCTCTTTCTTTCTTATTAGCTTTGCGACTGAAGCAGGACATTACGTGTTTCTAGACAAACTAGCGACTGGACTATGCATTCTAGATGATGGCGGTATCGAAGTCCGTGAAAGCCTGGAGGAGGAGACGAACAGGGATAGATGCTCATCCGAAATCAACGGGATACTCTTGGCCTTACTTCATGGATCATATCCAGGATGAAGAGCACTTCCGAGCCAAGAAGCAAGCTCTTAAAAGATGGAGGGAGACACAGCGGCGCAGCTCCGAAGATGCATACGAGCAAACGTCATCGGATGCAAAGTTTCTGTCATGATCGGCAAGCTTCTCAATAGCCCTTGAATATCTGGAGGGATTCCAGATTCACTGTGTGAGATCTAGCTCTAGCTATTGGGTGGAAGCATCCAGACACACATTTGGATTTGACTTTTCATGTCGGAGGCCCTCTACGCAACATGCACCCTGAAAATCAAATACACATGAGCAAATCAGAAGAACAGTAAGTAGATAGGCCTTGCCTTTCCTACTGGCATTATTACGGAAGTCTTGCAATCCCTCGCCTCGCTTATCTTGTGTTTCCTCCAAGAACGTATCCTTCAATCAGTTGCCTAACCTCGGTGATGCACTCGATCATCACCCGCCTTTTGGGTAGAGTATTCCCTCTAGATCTCAGATCGGCTCGATCAGAACTCGAGCCCATTGAACTACACGACTTATCAGAGGGAATCTGTCTTCTTGTGTTGCTTGTGGCCTTTATCTGGTACAAACTGATGAGTATCCCGGAAATCACATCCCAGCCTCCAATGTTGTGCTACGAGATTGACGACGAGTCGCTGCGCCTGGTCCTCCAGATGCAGTTGGAGGACTTGGAGAATATTAAGGAAAGCAGCAAGGGCAAGTGCCGAGTGGACGAGGTCTCTGATCTCGACCTGGCTGTCGATGCATACCACGCGGAACTGGAGTCGCAAGCTGTGCTCGCGGCAGATAGGTGTATGTGCAAGAGTATAGCCAAAGCAAATCAATCCGACGGTCGCCTCATTGCGATTCTCACGAAACAGGAGAACCAGGCCACTCGCGACAGAGAAGCAGCTATTCGACTCAGCAATGGAGCCACACTCGGCGAGGGTACGTCTTTTACGAATCTTGCCGTCGTGCCAAAGGAGTCTTCCACAAACGTGGAAGACGAGACATTTTTACGAAAACTCGCGTCGCTTTACGTCTCTGTTGACTATGGCGAGGAGGAGGAGGACGACGACGACGACAATGACGAAGATGACGAGGAAGAACCGGAATCATCATCGTGGGCGGCCTCCAGGAAGCAAATCGATGCGGTAGCGATCAAACCGACTAGGCGAGAGAAGAAAACAACATGCGACAGTTGTAAAGATGCCTACACCCCCATCGCAGTCGCCCAGCTGCCGTGCAAACACAACTACTGCCGCGACTGTCTTCGGACCCTCTTCGAGCTCTCCCTCACAGACGAGTCGCTCTTCCCGCCGAGATGCTGCAAATTGCCTATTCCCGTGGACGGAGGCTTTGCCAGGGTTCTACTGTCCCCGAAGCTGGTAGGAGAGTTCCGGGCAAAGGAGATCGAGTTTTCAACGCCCAACAGGACGTACTGTCATAGGCCGACCTGCTCCATATTCATTCCCAAGGAGTTCATCAGAGGCGACGTCGGAACATGTCCGCAGTGCCAATACCAGACGTGCACGATGTGCAAAGGCGCCGAGCACGGAAACCAGGATTGCGCGCAAGACACGTCGACGCAGGCTCTTCTCGAGGTCGCCGCCGCCAACGGTTGACAGCGCTGTTCCTCGTGCCGCCGAATCGTGGAGCTCGACCACGGCTGCTATCACATGAGTGAGTCTCTCTTACCGCCCCCGGTAATCCTTGAAACATATGATGAACAAGAAAATCAGCCTGCCCCTGCGGATCCCAATTCTGCTACCTCTGCGGTCTGCAGTGGAAGACATGCACCTGTGAGCAGTGGAACGAGGAGCGGCTCGTCGCCCGCGCTAACGTGATTGTGAACCGCGAGGCCGACGCCATGCACTTGAACGCCGCGGTTAGAGCTCAGCGGGTCGAGCAAGAGGCGCTCAACCTCGTTCAGAACCACCAGTGCGCCCATAACAGGTGGAGGAGCCGGAGTGGCAGTTTTCGGTGCGAGGAGTGCCATGACCGCTTGCCGACGTACATTTACGAATGCACCCAGTGTCGGATCCACGCGTGTCGCAGGTGCCGACACAATCGACTGTGAAGGGCGACATAGAAAAAAAGAGAGAGCTGCGAACAGGCATACAGGTTGTTGGATTTCAGATGTCTCCCGAAAACTCTAAAGAAACATTACTTCTTGGCTTGATTTAGGTCAACAAAACAGCTTCAACGTATAAGATGGGGCAAAAGAAAGTAGAAATACTTATGCTCAGGACTAATATGCGCTTCCCATAAAGTAAGAGGCAAAAAAAGCAAAAGATATTGCGGCCAGTGTGGATTGAACACACGACCTTCAGATTAAGTGATTGAAGTTGACTTCAGTCTGACGCTCTCCCAACTGAGCTATGTCCGCCGCATGTGATTGGTAGGGGGCTGTTGTGCGCTAAGTAGCGCTGCACTAAGGCCCAGACCCCAGGCGGCAGGCCCCGAGAAAGGGACACTTCGTACCAAAGGGCATCTTCCGCGCCGACCTCACGCGTTCAGGTATCGTGAGAGGTGAGCTTCCAAGTCTGGTCTCAAAGGAGCTCAAATATGTCGTGTCACTTTGAGTTCGGTATGTTCCAATGCAGTCTTTCTGCAGCGTAACCTCTGAAGCCCATCGTTATTTGCAAGTAGTGTTGGCTGGCGTCACCAAATTGTGACTGAAGAATTCAATGTACTTGATTTTGTATCGAACACCTCCTCTCGAACATTCGTATACGCTACCTTAGCTGATATCATACTCTTTTCTATACTTTTATGCCCCGAATTCTTCGCTTTTTGTTTTGTTTCGCAGTCCGTAAACCTCGGCCGCACATTTCAAGCCAACCACCCATCATACGTACTCAACTCCTCCCGCCTCGCACCCTCCATCTCCCCCTTAACACCCAACAACCGCACCCTCGCCCCCTTTTCTCTCCCCCACACCTCCAAGAACGCCTCAACCCTCTTCTGCGTAGCCTCGTCATCCTTCATAATCAAAGCCACCGCATCGAATCCGCCCGCGCCAGGCACGACCCCGCCCAACACGCCCTCGACACCCCCCAGCGCATCAAGCAGCTCCGTCTGCGACTCAGGCTCAATCGGAACGCCGCTCCCCTGTCCCATAGCCCGAATCAACTCCCTCACATCCGCAACTGCGCCGCCAACCTTGTGCGTCTCCCCGTTCTTCAGCGCCGCCGCGAGAGCCTCGTTCTTGCCCTGCAACTCATCCCATAGCGCCTTGCTCCCTTCAGCATCGGCCTTCCTCCACTCGAGCACCTTCTTCACCATACTCACCGTTTGGCTACCGCAATCAACATCGCACATGCGAAGGCACACGCCCTGCGGCAACCCCGTACCAGCCTTATCGACCTCGACATCCCATGCGAGCAACTCATCCACCTTCCTCACCAACGCCTCCGAGAAACCCGGCGTCCCCGCCGCGCCGAGGTCAGAGAGCAGAGAGGGCGAGAAGCGGCGATACCGACAGCTTCCAAACACCGCAGCCGCGACATCGAACCCGGATCCGACCTTCCCCTGCGCGGCGCAGTGCGCCGCCTGCGCGAGGTTGTGGAGCGTATGTTTTCCCGCCTCGGAGTTGATGTCAAACAGGGACGTGGGAAGGTGGTGCGTCAGGAGCGCGGCCGTCAGGGAGGTGACGAGCGCGGCGGAGGAGCCGAGACCCGTCTTGTGCGCTTCGCCGATGGTGTGGGGGTACCGCGCGAAGCGGGTTCCCTTCTTTGCTATCGGGACGGCGGTGCCGGAGACGGCGGAGTCCGGGTCGTTGGATGCAGAGGGCAGCGAGTAGTAGTCGTTGTCGGCTAGGATGATGAGGCGGGTTGAGGTGAGGGCGTGGCTTGGGCGCTGCTTGTTGATGCGTGCGATGTAGGTGAGGGCGTAGCTTAGGGTCGTCTCGACGAATGTATTTGGGTTGATTTTGGAGCCGCTGGGAGGAGGTTAGTGATGAGATGAGATGAGATGAGATGAGTGAGAGTGAGAGTGAGTGTGAGTGCAAGTGAGGCAATATGAGATCTGGAGTGGGTATGCTTGCTAGATGTGATGATGATATTGTTCATCATGAGCGGAAAGATCGTCAAGTCCATATGAGAGGGCGTGGCATAGCAAAAGCACACAGAAATCTCGCCCAACCCAACACTCATCTGCCGCGCGAACATCTTGAGAAATCGCCCCTGATCAACCACATCCCACGCAAGCCCCGCACCAAAACGCTTGAAGAACTTTGAGAGACACAATTTCCCTCGACACACCCCACGCCAAACACATGACCGACTATACTATGCAAAACAAGAGACACCGAAAGATCCGAGGAAAAGAAGAGACAAAAATTCACTTACACCTGCAGCTGCGTAACCGTAATGCCCCCATCCTCGGGCGCGAGATGGAACCCGTACCGCCAGACAGCGTCGACAAACTGCGGGCTCTCGACGACGATCTCGGTCAGGTGCACGCCCGGAATGGTGTGGATCTCGGCGGCCACGACATTAATACGCGCGCTGAGCCCAAAGACGAGGCCCGTATAGGCCCGGTCCAGGACCAGGTAGCCGCCCGCCAGGAGGACCTTGCCGGGCGCCGAGACGGCCGTCGTCGTGGGGTTCGCGGTCACCGAGGAAGCCGTCATGTTTGTTTTTCTTTTCCGGGAAACGTGGTCTGGTTAGGTATCTAGTGGCGAGTGTGTATGTATGTATGTGTGTCGGTGTATGTCTTCGGGGTTGAGTCCGGTTTGTGTGAGGGGTATGTCAGATCTGTATCTCAGATTGCAGGTCGAGAGACAGATATCTACGATTGTTCAATCTCGCCAATTGAAACAATGCCGTTATGCAGCTTGCAATGGGCGGAATTTCAGCGCGCTTGGAAATGCGGTACGGCTAGAAGATGAGGCACAGTGAGGGGTTGGTTGTGTGATGACGCAGGCGTGATGGAGGTAAGGGCAGCTAGGTAGTTGAAAGTTTGGGATGCGAAATCGCATCGTGGGAGAGGAACGGACGCACAGTGCTAGTGACATGTGTGAGGAAGTTGATGCAACAATAATGCACTGTACTGATTTTGGGGTTCCGTCCCAACGAGAAGCCTCAAATTATCGCCAAACCTGGGCACACTCGGAACGACAACCAGAGCTCCAGCTCTAGCGGTCAGACTCCCGGGTTGAGCCCATGATTACATACTAATCAAAGTATAGGGAATATTCCCAGATTCCTCAACACATCATCACGATTCAAATCTGTTGAACACTGCACACTAAAACTGATATCACCGTTATCTTCACATAATGCAGGCCAATTGTTTTAACAGTCGACAAATCTTATTTTGTTGGATGCTGCCGGTAATGTACATACAGCAGGATCACATGCCCTCATGACATGTCGTCGTAAACCGACCCCCAATATCCTTTCCGTCCATTCATGATCCTCTATGCTGCGTTGCGCTTCTATCCGGCGCCCTCTTTTTTATACTATGCTTGAGTGGGGTTGTGTCTATAGTTTGGGCCATTGGCCGTCATCGCTCGCTTTCCGATAAAAAGCCCCTGCACGGGTGCTCAGTCGCCGTGACCCTTTTGCTTCCGACAAACGCCGTACCAACCCAGTATCCCGATTATGGGGGTATGAATTCGACTTCCGGTTCAAACTCCAAATTCCAAAACCATGTGACGATATGAAATGCTTTCGGCGCACTGCCGTAAACCAGACTGGCCGCCGATCCTGGCCAGGCACCCTCAGTCCACCTACTTCAAAACACAACGGGGTATCAAGCAACGCGGTAGATGAGGGCAGTTACAAAGGAAACGTGTTCATCGAGGGAACACGCAGAGCAGCTGCTCAATGCGTGGTTCGATGATTTGATGAACAAGGTAGACAAGACAGGTATTGGAGTGAGTTCAGTTGTGTGCAACAGCTTCCTCACCACCGCCACCGCCAAGAAGCTCCAGCACCTTGTTGACAACAGCACTGGGGTAGCCACGGCAGAGCATCTCTCCGACAACGCCCTTGGCCTTCTCGCGCTCCTCGACGGCGAGGTAAGCACGAGTCATGGCCTCGTATGTGCTGGGCTCACGCTTCTCGTGACCGACAGAGTCGTAGATGGCTTGGGCTTTCTCAATCTGCTTCTCAGCGGCCCAGCCGTGGATCAGCGTGTTGGCGATGTAAGGAGTCATCTCGACACCTCGACGGCGCATCTGACCCAGGATGGCCTCAGTGTCGGCAACCTTGTGGTTGGCAACCATGGCCTCAAATAATGCTTGGAAGAGGCTAGCGTTGGCGGTGACGGCGCGGTCGGCCATAACAGAGTCGAAGACCTTGCGGGCGCCCTCCATGTCGTGGAGGTTGCAGCCACGGGCGTGGATGAGAGCAGCGAAGTGGACAGCCTCGGGCTTCTGACCGGAGGTACGGATAGCTTCAAGGACCTTCTCAGCAGCAGCCATGTCGACGGGCTCGAGGGTGGCGTGAGTATCGACAAGAAGCTTGTAGGTGTGAGCAGTGGGAGCGATTCCCTTGACCATCATACGATCGTAGTAGGCCAGGACCTTCGCCTTATCACGCTTGGTGGTAAGGAAGAACTGCATCATGCTGTTGTAGGGAGCGGGGCGGGCCTTGTAGTTGGGCATCGCCTCCAT